CAGCGCATTCTGAAGCCCACTCATGAAGCCCATCACTGACGGAGCTGATGACAACGAACTCGCCACTGCCTAAAAACTTGCGCGTCGCAAACATAGCTTCATTGCAGGCGGTTTCTGTGGTCCAGGCGCTGGTGCTTGAGCATGCGCTGGTAAACGTCCCAACCTTGCGGAGTAAGGCCGCAACGCCACCCCAGGCCCACACGCAGCAGCTTTTGCACGGCCTCCGTGCTGCTGCAAGCGACCTCCGACCCAAATGCAAGCCGCCAATGCCATCCATGCCACACTGATGCCAAACGACGCTACCAAAACGCCACACAGATCACTTCCTGACTTAACCCAAACGCCAGAAATTGGACAAAGGGCTAATGAAATCCGACACGGTAGCCCACGCGTCAAACAAAAAAGCCATCCAGCTACGAGACTTGAAAGTTCTCAGCATGTCTTTGGCCCAAGTCGCATAACCCCAAACCCAGCCCTAACCAAATCTCATTCTTGTCAACATGCGCAGCTCATGTCAACTCAACCCGTAATGTTGAAGCAACGTTCCTCTCAAGGCCCTCACTGCAGCTGACAAAACAATGCAGGACTGCATGACCTCAGTGTCGGCGCCGACGTCGCAAGTCTGGTTCGAAGCAGCCTCGTAGACGATCAGGCACACACAATGTCACACCAATCCTTGAGACGTCAACGCAATGAAACTCGGGGCCACGCAGAGAGCCCACAAGCAGCGAGGAGCTCGCAATCACCCATGGATTGCAACCGATCCGATGCCTCACCGTCACGAGTTTGCAAACTTGGTTTTCTTATGTTTCTTACCATGACAGGTAATACAAGGCGGCCACAGAGAATGGCGTCTGAGTCTCCTGGGCACAAACATCCAACGCTGAGGGCAGCAGACAGCCGCGCCAACACAGCAGTTTGGGGCACATGCCGCCACTTGGACATCGGGACCCTGTGCGGATTGATCCTGCCCAGAATTTGTGCGCAGGTTGGATTGTTTGCTAGGATTTTGTACTTCAGACTGGTAGCGCAGTCGTCGTGCGTCGTTTTGGTGTTGAGTTTCTTGCGGTTGTGGTAGTGATGTATGTAAGGCACACCGTGGGAAAGAATGCATTGACAGGAAACGGGTTGGACATCAAAGTTAGAATCAAGCAGCAGCTGACGCACGCAGGCACACACACACACACACACATACACACACGCACACACACACACACACACACACAATGTCCAATCCTTGAGACGCCTACGCAATGAAGCTCGGGGCCAGGCAAAGAGAGCGCAAGCAGCGAGGACCTCGCAACCACCCATGGACTGGAGCCGATCCGATACCTCACCGTCACGAGTTTGCAAACTTGGTTTTCCTATGTTTTCTTACCACGATGGAAATTGCAAGGCGGCCACGAAGGTTTGCGTTTGAGCCTCCTGGGCACAAACATCCCGCGCTGAGGTCAGCAGACAGCTGCGCCAACACACCCGTTTGAGGCACAAGCCCCCACTTGGACATCAGGAGTTTGGACAGATTGATCCTGCCAGGATTTGCAGGCGGGTTGGATCGTCTGCTAGGATTTTGTACTTTTCAGACTGGTAGCACAAACTGTGATAGCGACATATACAAGGCACACTGTGGAAAAGAACGTTGGAAGGAGATGGAGAACCATCAATCTTGGAGAATACACATCTTAAAACACAGCTTTCAGCACTACTAGCGTATGTAACGTAACTGTTGCGACAATGCTGCAACTCAAACCACTATAGATGCGACTACTGCAGCAGCTATGTCTGAAATTCCCGGTACCCAACTACTAAGGTCGAAGCGAAAAACATGCGTTTCTACGCCTTTGTAGTGTGTGTGTGGCGAAAAGCAAAAGCAGGGGGCATGTAACTGGCCTCAGTTTCCCACGAAGTCTGCGTCGCCTGCTACTATAAAACGTGTCCACACACACATACGCTGCACTCAATGCCTTGCAGCGTGTCACAGACATGCTGAAGGCAATGACCATCCGAGAGCATGGCTGCTTCACACGCAGCAGTCGCGAGCGCAGGCGCTGCCTGAAGCAACCCGGTTAGACCCAGAACACAAAGCCTGCCAAACATCTGTAGCCTTAAAGGGGTTTCGGGTACTTAGAGAAGATTTGCATCTCAGCTGCAGCAAGACTTCTTCAGGATGGCATTCAAAGGGGCCAAGAATTGGGAACCTGCGTGTTTCGAGTTGCCAAGTACGTGCGAAAGCACCTAGCAGCTAGCCAATCGAACACGCGCATCTCTTACATAACTTTGTCAAAGACCAATGCATCCCCGCAAGGTGTGGGTGTGGGGGGGGTTAGGCCTAGGGTTTAATTGCAATGAATTCCGTGGGCCTAAAGGGCTCTGGAAATGAGTTTGTATGGGCCTGAGGTCCCCAGATGACCTGGCTCAAATGCAAAATCCGTGGACATGCCACGGAACATGCATGAAATGTGGGTGGCCTGACCCCCGCTGGCACTCAGACGCAACAGAGAGTTGCAAACACGTAGGATAGCGGGATTGTGAGGAATGTATATAAGGTAATTTGAAGAATCATCGACAGCCGCAGCAACTAAAATGAAACCCACGGGGCCTGACCCCTCTGACATAACATCTGAACCCGTCATCTAGCCTATCTGGCTGGGGACCCAACTTGTGAAATGAAATCCAGGAACGCCCTATGGACACATCAGAAATTAAACGAAAATCCAAAATACATTTTGAGCCCTAAGCCTCCCCGTTTGATTTTGGGACAGTGAACGGGGATCCAATGCTCTTAGGGCTGTTCTTGCTAAAGACCCTCCCACCCACTCTCCTCAACCTTGGAAGACCCAAGCCACACCTCAAGTGTGCCATCAGCAAGCTGTGCTGCACCTCAGCTGCTGCGAGACTGTATCACATCCGCGACCCGCTCGCTCACTTGCTCCCTCCCGACCTACGCTTCAAGCCGTTTTTTTCATTGAAAGCGCTGGGCCTTGTCCCCTGCCCCTACAACAAAGCAGTCAGCCTCAATCGGATTACACAATAGATGAAGCGTGGGGGCAAGCCCCCGGCCATCATCGCCATGCTTCTGCTTCTCTCTCTCTCTCTCGCTCTCGCTCTCGCTCTCTCTCTCTCTCTCTCTCTCTCTCTCTCTCTCTCTCTCGCCCTCGATATCTCCAGTAAGGTCTGGACGCTTCTGCTTCCGCCTCAAGTTTTTGCGCTGGCCTGGCAGACATGCTTGCAGCACGCCTGTGTGAGCATTCTCCTGTGAAGCAAGGATTTCGCCTCTGGTGAGCCGAAGAGGTTCATCGGCCTGGTGGATGCCATGCAAAACGGAGTAACTATGCCAGAAGGCAAGGGCAAAACTCAGCAGCTGACAGCCAAAGCCGCCACCAGCAGCAACACCAAAACGAAGGTGCGCATTGCTCTCGGGAAGTGTGGTATCACTTCGAACCTTGAACAACTGTGCTGCACTGTACCTCAAATTCAAGCAGACGACAAAGACTGCACGCTGCACAACCTGCTCAAGCCTCGTTAGGAGTTCTTAGTTCCGGTAGCTGTGTGCACTCGGTTGTTGATTATTATTTGGGGGATTACGCAAGGAAGCAACAGCTGCCATTGAACCCTGCACCAGCCTTCTCAGCAGTGCTTCTTTGATTGCGCGGATGACCCTTTCCGCCAAAAAAGAATGTTTTGTGGTAACTTACATTTCAACAGACCAGTCATCCAAAATTTTGTTGAACGCTTTCTTGAATTCTACCCCCGTCATCAGAGTATATGTGAGCAGGTATGCCCACACGGTCGATGATCGTCCTCATTGCTGAAGCTGTAGTAGTGGCCAGGCGATCTTTCGGGGGTAAAGCTGCGACGTATTTGGAGAAACTATCGTTAGCCACCATCATGTATGGATGAGGTTTCCCCAGGCCATCTGACTGGGGTGACGTACATATTTATTGGGCTTGGTGCTCATTTTACTTTCTGAATCGTTGTGCAGCTTGATTCAGGTGCTTGTGCATACTTTGCAATCTTTGCCTTTAACTTCAGGTAGTCGGCGTCCCCTTTGCAACTTGTTCATTTCCTGCCATTCTTGATGCTCTTTGTGCAGACTGTGGAGCTTCCTTGTCACAACTGACCGAACTTGACACTGGACGGATCTTATGCGCGTGCAGTTTGCTGAAGAGGTTTTCCCCCAAAAGCTTGCATGAACGCTAGATCCACTTGAGCTTCATGCATGGGCTCTTTGAAGTACGAATTACGAATGAGTTGTACCCTCGCTGCGGCCTAGCTTGACTTCATCACTTCATCTCTTGTCACGAAAGGATTGCGTTCCTTTGCGGCCTTGAAAGCGTGTGCAATGCTGCCCAAACCCGTTCGAGGATTCAGATACACCTCTTCGATGACTCGCCTCCGAGTTGCAGCTTCTCTTGCGAGAACTTCTGCCATGAAAAATGTCGCATCAGCTTGGTTTCTTTGTAGTCCCACCCGTTTTGACCGCTTACGTACATCAGTGAAGACACGCGTGTGCAAACCCGTCAAGCTCTGAAAGCAAAGCAGACCCACCATCAATCTCGTCAATGGACTCGAGATCAGCGCGAAACTGGGTGGCTCAGAGAAACAACGCATGTGTGCGTTTGGCATCCATGAACCTCCCCCAACTTGGATGCCGAAACCTATCTCGAACCAACCCAAAAAGGGCCTGGGCAGCACAAGGTCTACAATCGACACGGAATCTTGTCAGGTTCACTCGGCTGCGACATCTTTGTTCTCGGCGAGTAGTCGGCGCTCATAAAGCTGGAAGGTCTCCGAGCATCTGCACTTTTGAACTTCATGAACTTTGGTGCCATGACACCGGCACCGGATGCAAAGAAAGAGCAGATCTCGGGACATACCAGCAGTGAAACATCTGCTTAGACTTTCCGTCGATCGTCGTCGATAAGCCTCTTGCATCCTCTTGCCCTCCGTTGATGACACACGTGCAGAGCTGGCGCCCTGACCACGCCTGTCTCACAGGATTAGAGCTCGTCCTGCAGTAAGTATCCAGCCAGCAACACTACTGAACCTGCGAGAACTAGGCTCACAAGACGTCGCAAGTCCTTCGGGAAGCAACATCTGTCATAGTTGAAAACGCCGTCCCAGCCTTAGGAACAGTTGCACCACAATAGCAGAGTCTTCGCACGGCTTAAGTTCATGGTCTAGGCTTGGGGGTTTACGACCTGGGGTCCAGAAATCGAGAGATGCCTCAGGAGCCGGCACTGGGCGTTGCCACTCGGCCCAAACTTCGGATCGCAACAGGTGTCATAGTTGAATCCTCAGCAGAGGTGCGAGACACGGCAAGCTCCTCCGTCTACTCTGAACCCTCTGGTTATTGTAATCCATGCTCACAGCATGCTCAGCAGCACACCATCTATCCAGCATTCCACATTCCCCATGACGATGGCCTGTTCAGGCTTGATTCGGGTCGCAGATTTCGGGAGGCCAGGAGATTAAATTGCAAGACACACTACGGTGCTTTGCAGCACAGAGAACGCAAACTTGACCAGCGACTAGCACGCAAGCTGTAGGTTGTAAAAACGAACTGGTTGCCCTTGCATACATGCTACGACCCTCCTAAGCCCTAACCAAGAAGGGAGGAGCGAGCCGCCTCCTGCCCTGGAGGGTGGCATGCTCTGCCACCGCTTATCCAACCTGGCACGGTTGCCACCGTGCATAATTTTGGAGTGGCTGAGCATGAAACTTCACACCACTTCCTACTTCCATCCCCCCACAAGCACGAGGCGCAGTTCCAACAGGAGCACACAGCTATTTCTGAAAAGGAACACTTGTTGAAAGAGAAGACATCGTGTGCCCCAGGGGAGATTTGGCAAAGCCTGTAGACAAAAAGGGAGTTCCCTTCTTGTCTGCAGGGGTTTGCCAGCCATGTCTTTTCTATGAAATCGTGATGCTAAGCATCACACTTAAAGGACGTATCCTTCCATGAGTATGGAGACCTCGCTTATCTAGTGCTGCATCTCCTAGCAAGCAAAAACCTTTTTTGAGAGTTTGTACAAACAATTAGAACTCTTCTGAAAACGGAAGGCCTCTCTCTCTAAAGCAGCTGTAGTTTTGCATGTTGTATGCTCTTTGTGTTTCAGATCACTTCAGCAATCTCAGCTGCTGGTGTGAAAGAGATAATGTTTCGTTGGCTTTCCCGCTTCGTTTGTGAGCACACACTGCATGTCTGCAAGCCGTTGGTTTGAAAATGTTATTTTCAGCATTCCAGAATAGGGCAAGCCGACGGCCATGCGTCGTACTCGGATTTTGAATTTGGACCAGGCTGAAGATCTGAGATCCCAGCTGACTGTACTGTAGAGCAGCAAGTTAAGCACGGGTCACATCTAATCGCAAGGTGGCATGGGTGTGGTGTGGTGTGCGGAGATTGGGGGTGGGGGAGTTCGCCTTCGCCCGCTTCGCGGCCATCGTCGCCCAGTCTGAACCTTACAGTTTCAGGGGTTCAGGGGTTGTCTCCGGCTGCATTAACTTGGAAGCGATTTGCGGTGTTAACTTTGGAGCACAGGGTTTTTTGTCTTGGATGCTTTATAGGATTTCTGGGCTAAAGGCTCAAAAGTTGAGACCAACAGCCCCAAGGTTGTTCGGAGGCAAACTGAGGTCCATACCAACACTTCTGCTCTCCTTCCTCTTGACCCCAAACCCAGAACCTGACGAGATTGCTTCGTGCTTCTGCGCGACATGCCTTGACCATGGGCTCATACAGTGGTGGTGCCACTGCTTGACACGAGAGCCACGAAGCACTTGCTCAGCTGGGGCCCGGCATGGATCAGCATGGATCAACTCCGTGGGCAAAAAACACGAAGCGCGAAAGAGCCCCAAGTTCTTGGCCCCGGACTCACACTCTGGTAGGGACTGGCACACCTTGCAGCCATGCCACGTACCCAGCACTGTCACAAGGCAGCACAAGATCTTCACAATCGACACTATCGTTGCAGGCACCTCTCAACCTTTTTGAAAATGTCACCTGTTTGACAAGCCACTGGCACGGTCTCGCAGCAAGTGTCTCAGACTGGCCGCACACTGCCCGCAGCCAGGGCATGCACCATTTGGCCCGAGTCTGGATTTGCTGCAGAACGAAGCTCTCAGGGTTTGCCCCTCTGCGGCTTTTCAAAGTGCTCCAAGATCTCTGTGGTGTTGCCGCGCGTGGCAAGCCCCTTGAGGCTGTTAATGTGTGTAAGGACTTGGTGAGGGATCTATTAGAACATTTCCCAAGCCGCTCTCAAACAGGGAATCAAGAAGATTCCAAAACTGGATGTGCACAGGGGGGCTTGCGGGCAAAGCCGCAAGCGGTCCTCGAGCCAGTCACATAAGAAGCGCGCGCTTCTTGCAAGACTCCGCTTGAGAGGAAATCATTTATGATTAGACCAGGGCCGGTCCGAATTGGAATCGTTGATCTGAAGTTGCGGAAGTTGACTGCTGATATCTGATGATGCTACTGAAGTTCAAAGGATCGCGGCCTTCTTGGGTGCAGTTCTGCACTGAAAAAGTTATGTAAAATGCCGAGAACTCGAAGCTGAGGTACCTGACCTAAAATCCCCTTGGGGGATGACCAGCAATAGGCCTCTGCCACATTTGACAGGAACGAGGCATCTCTAATGCGAGATGCTCAGACTATCTAGTCCCTCACATGTCTCGTCAAATTAATGACAAGTCTGGCAATATCCTCGAGCTCCAGTACCTCAGTGACCAGCTGTGTTGTAAGGTTCGGCCCTGCCTGAGCCTAAAAGCAGCTAAGCCACGCTGTCCCGGAGCATGTCGGCATCCTCCTCATCCGGTTCCTCCTCACACTCCTGGCCCTCGCCACGCCTAGGAACAGACGGCAACTGCAGCAGCTTGATCGCAGAACCTTCGCATAGCCTTCTAAGAAAAGAAACAAGGATATGCTATACGGAAGCAAGCAAGCTGAGCAAGCTGAGCAAGCTGAGCAAGCTGAGCAAGCTGAGCAAGCTGAGCCAGCTGAGCAAGCTGAGCGAGCTGAGCAAGCTGAGCAAGCTGAGCAAGCTGAGCAAGCTGAGCAAGCTGAGGGAGGCACCAGCCGTCCATCTTCTTCTTGCCCTGCATGCTGTGCGGAATGCAAAAAGATGTCCGCCACTGTTGACAGTCGGCTCCTCTCTGATCCTGCCTTGTGACGCTGCCTGAGCTTCTGCCTGTTAAAAGCATCCTCTTGGAGACTCAACATGTTCAGGCACGTCGACCTGGGCAGGATGCCAAGGAGCCCAGCATGCCCCCTTTAACTCTTTAACCTTTAAGGAAGTCATGCTCTCCCTGAAAGAGTGAGCTTGAGCTGGGTTGGCGATCTGGGATAGCTGCGCGGTAGCTCGGACCTTCGCATTGTCATCCTTCATGCGGGTCACCATGGCCTGGCCACACATGGTGATTGACAAGGTGCACCTGACAACGTGCGCCACGCGACCTCCTTCACGCAGGCACGCTGAACACCCAACCTTGGCTAGCGCATGTGCGTGCAGACGCATGAAGCAGCTGCACACACAACTTGGATAAACTCTGCCAGACAAAATAACAGAAAACTTCCAGCGCACGATCGACACTGACCTTGTGAAGTTCTCGTCCTTCTCTCGAATGTAAAACCGGGGGAGTGGACCAAGACAGATGAGAAAGATAGAACAAGGGCCGCAAGGGCCGCTCAAGGCTTGAGAAAATGGGCAACAATGGAAGGGACAGAAGTGACCCTGAGCACCTTGACCAAAGCTCAGTCAACACGAGCAACCAACGACTTGACCGCCCGCGTTTACGAAAGCAAGATGAACAACTTATCCAGTAATTCCAGTGGCTGCTCTAGTAGAAACTCTTCTTTCGAAGCTTGGGTACAGCCTGGTTCTTTCGATGCAGCATGTGATACAACATGTCTCTGCTTGCTGAGTCAGTTGAACTCTAGGTCTGGGTTGGGAGTCTTTGTGAGCACATGATGACTCATATAGGCCGCAAGAAGCAAAGAAACATATTCGTATACCGTATGCTGTGTTCCTGAACCGGTAGCCTTCATGTTTGGCATGTTGCCAGTGCTCACGTACTCAACGTCCCTCTCGGAGTAGGTCTCGTGGCAACCGAACACAATCTGCTGGGGATGCTGTGGGGGAAGGGGGGGAAGCTGACGCGAAGCGTGAATCAGGTTCAGGGCCGGAAAGGGGGGGAAACTGAGGCGAAGCGTGAATCAGGATCGTATGCAGGGTTTCCAAAACTGATGTCCAAGGCGGCTGAGGAGCTGCTCGGTTCGGGCCAGGTCCAGGAGGGACTCTGCGGCTGCCTCGGCAGCGGTGTGACAAGAGCAGAGGCTCCTAAGCGGGGGGGGGGGGGGGGGGCTGCTAAATGCTAGATATCAATGTGGGTTTCTCAGAACACACTATTAATGAACCTTAATGAACTAGAAACTCTAGTTATGGCCATATCGTGCTGTGAAACCTCTGTGTCAATAACCACGCAATTCGCTCTACAGCTTCTTCGGACACCTGCATGTCCAAAACAAAGAAGAAGAACTCCGCCTGTCGAATATCGAAGATGAAAACCTCTGTGTCCTTTGTTTTGTCTTCGGAAAGCCCTCTAGTTTATCTGTGTTTCCTTGCGAACCAGTAGATGTGATGATGGCTTGCACATGCTTGTGCGCTACCTTCACGCGGCCTCTGACCATTCTGAGGATTGGGGAGTGATCTTAGAAAGAAGAAATAGCAGGCATCGGTAGGCTCAATTTCCAAGATGAGGCCATGGCTTGTCTCACTTCGTCAGATGTGTCAGTGAGGCCACGCTTGATCAAGCATTGGATGCAAACCTTGGTGCAGCTTGGTACGTCTTGACATGGCGAAACGTGCTCTAGTTCGGACGCCTTTTCTTCTGAGAGATCGCAGCCCACGTGTCAGCTGTGAGGCCGTCGCGTTATGAGCAATCTTCTCCGTGACACCCAGCCGGCTAATGGAAACCGCCGCTGCTTCACGCACCTCTCCAATATCAAGAAAATGAAAAATCTGCGTCAAGACAACAATGCAGCTTGCAAGGCCTCGCCTGAGCATGAGGGTCCTTCATGGCATCAGCCAGGTGCGGGGCTGCTGAGGCTGCGAAGGTCCTAAGTGCGGGGACTGCCTAACGGCACGATTCTCCCAACGCTCCCACAGTCCCACAGCCCTGAGTCACAGGCAAAACCCCCTTCAACAGCTCTGCTGCATCAACAAAAGCGCGGAACCGACAGAGAAAGTGCCAAGGCCAAGCTATGCCAAATCTGGAAGTTCAGGCCAAGGCACCCAATCCGCCCCAAAGACACCGCGGAACAACGCCGCACAACATGGTCAGAGTCCTTCAAGGTCTGGAGCAGCTTCGGCCTCAAGAATCTGAATTTGAGAACTTTTGTGGGGGACTTTTTTTCGAGGGCTTCTGGTACCGTGACATTCGACGGGAACTGAGGAAGGGAAGCAAGCACGCGGAGCGCGCTCACGACTCTGCCCCCTTCATGGGCATCGCATGTATCGGGAGGGGGTGAAACTGTGGGATGTCCCACTTCTAGCAACTGCACAGCTTGTGGGTCCACCTTGGTTTCAGGCTAGATGCCAGTGGTCACTGAAAGCGGCCCCCTTTCCGCTGTGTGCTGTGCGCAGAGTCTTTTTTCAGGAGCTGCCAGGCTCAGTTTGTGTGCATCGCACCCATTTCTGTGGATCCACACGCGCAAGCCGATTCTCCCGATCACAGACAGCAACCAGGGTGGTGACGGTATTACCCGTTACTGCACCCCGTGCAGCCGTTTTTCCTGCCCAAGCCTGAACATACCTCTGGCAGTGCATGATCAAAGGGCTCGTGGATGCTGAAAGATCTTGGGATGATCTTGCCATGAGCAAAAGTGCAGGGATCTATATGTTTCAGGGTGAGAAGACAACGCAATCCCCGGCCACACCAAGGAGGTAGTTGGACTTGGGTCGGCGCACGGCCGTCGATGCGCTCTTGCCGCCGATCTGGCCTTAGACAGTGACATCTTGCGACTCCAGAAATGTAACCATTGTAGCCGGCACTGCCCAAATAGAAACAAGACCCGGATGCTCAATGAGGCCCCTGCCAATCGCTTTTGCTGCAGCGGCTCGGACATGACTCTGGCTGTCTGTGAGGCAGGCGGCAAGGGCGTCCGTGGCTGTTGGTGCACCTCACTGAGAGCACGAGCTTGTGGTTGTCTTGGTTGTCAGATTCATGAAAAGCGGCACGTCTTTTTGAAAGACAACATTCTCAACAACTGGGAACATGCGGGCTGGCCACCTGCCTCTGAAGGCCGAGTTCACATGCAATGTCAAGAACTCTGTCGATGACTGTGACTCTGCAGCCCTTGACGGTGGAACCCTTCGGATCGTCAACAATGCCCGGGCTTTCTGGACAGCTTGCTGTCAGCATTGTGTCGAACTGCCGACATTGCCATTGCCAAGTTGCTGAGCATGCCCAGCGCCGCAGCTGCCGCACTCTTGACTTCAGAACCTTGGGATAGTGTGAGATATCTGCACACCGACACATGCCGAATGCAACACGCTTAATGCCCGTTGGGCGGCTGGGGTCCTCCAAGGCGTCCGTCAGTACCTCGAGAACCGCCGTGGAGCTCACGCCTCCAAAGAGGGATAAACCATCAATGGAACCGCACCGAACATGCACCGCCGTATAAGACGAAGCCGAAGATGCTGACAAAAATGCGAACCAGCTGCCCAGGTATCCCAAGGAAGAGAGCGCCTCAGCGCTTCGCGCTTGGCCGCTTGGTCTTTCCATGTCTTTCCTTAACCTATTTGTGCTTCCGTCCCTTCCCCTTCCCTTCTCTGCATGCCTCTGCCTTCTTGGGGTCTTTTCTCCACCTGTTTGTCCACCTTTCGTTCACCGTTTTCTCTTGC